CTAAATATTTTTGATTCGATATGGACTTCAGGGAATTTCCCAACTTTCTGGCGTAATGCCATTGTAGTCCCTATTCCAAAACCAGGCTGGGATCATACTGATCCGTCTAATTATAGACCAATCTCTTTAACGAGTTGTGTCTGTAAAACCATGGAAAGAATGGTGAATAATAGATTAACTTGGTATCTTGAAACCAATAACCTGATATCAAATATCCAATGTGGTTTCAGGAAAAATCGTAGTACCATTGATCATTTGGTACGTTTAGAATCCTTTAATGCAATAGTAAATAGACAACATGCAATATCGATATTCCTTGATCTCGAGAAAGAATACGATACCACCTGGAAGCATGGCATTTTAAAGGATTTACATGATTTTGGTTCAAGGGGTCGTTTACCTCTTTTTATATCACAGTTTCTATCAGACAGGCAATTTCAAGTCCGATTGGGTTCAACCCAGTCTGACCATTATAATCTGGATCAGGGTGTCCCACAAAGCAGTATTTGGTCTGTTACGTTATTTAATATCAAGATCAACAGTTTATCCAAGGTTTTAAACGATTCAATTGATGGATCACTTTTTGTGGATGATTTTAATATTTCTTGTCGTGATAAAAATATGCATACTATTGAACGGCAATTGCAGTTGTGTTTAAATAAAATAAATAAATGGTGTCTTGAAAACGGCTTTAAATTTTCTAAATCAAAAACTAATTGTCTACACTTCTGTAGAAAATATAAGCCGCATAAGGACCCAAAAGTATCTTTAAATGGCCCCCCCATCAAAGTTGTAAAGGAGGCAAAAATCTTGGGTCTAATTTTTTTATTCTCATTTAACCTTCTTGCCACACATTAAATCCCTTAAAGCTAAATGCCTGAAGGCACTAGATTTGTTAAAGGTTGTTTCAAATTCTAAGTGTGTGTGTGTGTGGGGAGATCAAACTACCCTCCTTCACTTAAACAGATCATTGGTACGATCTAAAATTGATTATGGCTCCATCGTATATGGCGGAGCCTGCAAAAGCAACTTACAACTTTTAGGTTCTGTCCACCACCAAGGCCTAAGACTTTGTCTTGGGTCCTTTAGAACCTCTCCTACTGATAGTCTATATGTTGAAGCAGATGAGCCTTCCCTTACACAACGTCGTATAAAATTATCTTTACAATACATTACTAAACTATATTCTCGCGAGTCTAACCCTGCATTTAACTGTGTTTTCAATCCCCTCTATGAGGATTTATACAACCAAAAACCTTCTCTTGTTCCGCCTCTTGGGCACAGAATTAAGACCTTCATTTCTGCTGCTGGCATTGAGCTGGAAAATATAGCTCCTTCCCGTCTTCTTTCTTCTCCCCCTTGGCAATTGGTTAGGCCACAGGTCGACCTCACACTGACTAAGTTTAAGAAAGCAGAAACTAATGAATTACAATATAAAAAAGAATATAATCAATTAAAAAGTAAATATAATACATATAAATCCTTATTTACAGATGGGTCCAAGGATGGTGGCGCGGTTGCTTGTGCCACTGTCATTGGGTCCAAAACAATATCTTCCAGATTACCCAATGACAGTTCAATTTTCACAGCAGAAGCAAACGCAATACTAACAGCTCTTAAATATATTAATAAACACCGTAAATATAAACAATATATCATCTTTTCCGATTCTCTTTCGTGTCTTCAGGCTATTAAAAATCTTTCTTGCAAACATCTACTTTTATTAGAAATTATTGAATTGTACAATGAACTTGCTACTGGCCAATGCGACATCGTCCTCTATTGGTTACCCAGCCACGTTGGCATTTCTGGGAACACAATGGCTGATATTGCTGCTAAGGCAGCACTCAACAAATCTGTGACACCACTTCTAATTCCATACTCTGATTGCAAAGCTAGCATTAGAACTTACATCCGTGATCTGATGCAGAAGAAGTGGGACACCCAAGTAGGTATTAATAAACTACATGAAATAAAGCCTTATATTGGTTACACATAGATGGGTTGTCAATCCAGATTTGAAGAGGTCATCATGCGACGATATCGCATTGGCCATACTCACAAATACCTATTAAAAGGTGAGGATCCTCCATTTTGTATCCCTTGTGATGAGAGAACCACGGTCAAGCATGTCCTGCTTGACTGTGTTGAATTCTCCATCATAAGGGATAGATATTTTAATGTCAAAACAGTAAAGGACCTTTTTAGTAATGTTAATTATCATTTAATCATTGATTTTTTAAAGGAGATAGATCTGTTAAATGAATTTTGATATATGTTTTGTAAATAGATAAGGTTTTTTAATTAGCAGTTTAGATTATCAACTTAGATTGTTAGTGGCTGTACCCTCAAAGGGGGTTGAAGTATTGTAAAATTATTGTCCTCCTGAAGGGGTACGTAAGTCCCAACACATTTAGAGTAAATTTAGGCTTACCACGTTTTTAATCGTAGAATATGTGTGCTTTTAATTTATGGCTAGATTTCTCTTCTGTCGCCAATGGCCGAAGGGAGGGATGTAAATCCAACTAGGGTCCATGCAGGTAGCAAAAGTAATGTAAGTCCCCATGGTCCCTGGTATGGTGATCTACCTTCAGTTATTGGCGATTTATAGCCCATTTTTATATTGTGTTGTTTCCCATAGTTAAACTGTTTTAGATTCAATTACTAGTTTTACATATATATCTGTGATATTCTAGTTGCTTTACTGTCCTTTGTCGGCAGGTTTTATAATCTCTATATATATTCTATTTTAATGTCAAGTGTTCTCGTCACGATATGGCTGAGATATTGCCAATGTGACATGAAATAAAAACTCACTCACTCACTCGGATGATTCAAGAAGGCCGACTTCGAACCTACCTGCGCAACTCTGCCACAGCTACACAGGAAGATATCTACGAGGCCTGGAGAGGTTACAAGGATGGAAACCTATGCATGGACCCATCACCCGCTGACTTTATATCTAAGAACTGTATCAAGCTAGAACCATTGGAAGTTTATTGTCTCTGTCGTTATTCTATTTAATACCCATTATGTTCCCAAGTTGAGCACTGTAGATATGAGGTCGGGCGGGACAACTTAGGAATGGCCAGCCAGTCCTAACTTGACACCCAGAAGGAAGCATGCTACAAAAACATTTTTTATATCATTGGAAAGATCTCAAGGAGATGAATCCAAAAATATAATGTGCAAGTGTGTTCATGTTTTCATAAGCTCACAAATTGGCTCTGAAAATGCATTTCTGCAGAAATTTCTGGCAGAATTTTTTTTTTCTGCAGAAATTTCTGGCAGAATTTTTTTTTCCTGCAGAAATTTCTGGCAGAAAAGATTGATAATATGGTCTATGTGCCTCTGTTGCTTCTATAATCACCCTAACTGGACAGAGGAACACTGAATTGTATATGGCAGATGCATAATCCTTGAAACCATATTAAGCAGAGCCTTCATTATTTGTACACCTGCACACATTAAAATTGTCTAAATGAATTGCTCTTTGTCAGATTTTACTTTGAAATTATCTAATTTGCAGTGTGCAAGTAAATGTGACTTTAAAAATGTAACAGCCTTTTAATGAGGCCAGCCAAATATAAGAATACTAGTACTTGGTGAAATCCAACAATTCAATCAAGATGAGATATACTATCATAGAAAGCAGATTTAACATCAGACAGTGGGAAAATAACACAAACAAGGTCATATAACATAACTGCATGTATTGTTTCATAAATGCCATAGACCACATTACAGTTACACATGCTGTACATATACAAATATATATATATATATTCCAAACACAAAAACATACACTTTGGTTATTTGCTTTTCTTTATGGCAGTCTGGTTGTAACAAAAGAACAAAAATTTAAAACTTTGACAAACTATAACAAGAATAACATGTAAATAATGAAACTTATATATCGTAGGTGAGGACATACATAAAAACTACAAAGATTTCTTGTGCAGATGTCGGTATTATTGTGACATCTTCCAAATATGTTTCAACCAACGCAAATTTCTGAGTTATTTCATCATTATTTTCGATCTGAATATCCAAAGAAAAGATTATAGCAAATGTTTAATGTCATCGAAAGTAAAATGTATGAAAGTAGAATTGTATCATGTGACAAGTTTGACAATACTGTGTTACAAGAGAGACCTATGAGATATTTATATCTTAACACTAAATAACTTTTTGTGATAATTAGTTTTTTAGAGTTGCATTCAAACCATTACATCAATCAGATATTCAATTTATACCTCAATTATAATACAATATGATCAATAAGTACATCAAAACACATGATAATTCCAAGAAAAGAAAGAACTTTCTAACCATGACAGGGGACCATTATGTTTTTTACCTATTGTTACCTAGACAGGGATATTTACAAGGAGAATAATCAATATCAGACTTAACAACAGTTCCAACAAGAACCATCAGAAGATGACAAATCGCCCCGGCCCCCACATATTTGAAAGAACAAATCATCTGGCAGTTACTTAAAGTCCAACTTGAATTTTTTAAAGACGCTTCCATGGAAATCATGAAAAATATAAGTGCCAAAAATGTGCAAATAGCAAAAGGCACCACTTCAAGATCTGTTTGATATGTCTGCCAAGTCTTGTAGAAAGAAAATGAAAGGTTTTCAAGTTGAAACCCACCCCTCCCTTATGAAACTAAGTCTGAATCGTTTCCATGGAAACCAGGAAAATTATAAATGCCAAAAATCTGCAAATAGCTAAAGGCACCTCTTTGGGATATGTCTCATATATCTGCTAAGTTCTGCTGAAAGATATTGAAAGGTTTTCGACTTGTGTGGAAACGAAACCCACACCTCCTTTTTGAGACCAAAGTCCAAATCATTTCCAAAATCTACTTCAATTTAACTTGTGCAAACCCTTGACAGTGAGGCAAAAGCAAATTTAGCTTGTGATTATACAAAGAAAAATGTTCAGTGCATATATATACATCGCATATACATATTTACATCAGTGTTACAATCAGGCCACCATCTCAGAGTTCCGCTGAGGCTTGATCTTCTGTGCTTTGTAAGTGATACCTGAAAATGAAAATGAAAGGATAATAAGAACTGACATACAAAGACAAGCGAAAAACAGTAAAAGCTTAAATCGGTATTCATCTTGATGTCTGGATGTTTTATACATTAAATGCTCTCTAACGCTGTATAACAGATGACAATATATTTTTTATTAACAATTGGAACTCAATGAAAATACCTTTGATTGCTTCTGCATTTTTTCATTGCTTCTCTCTATTGCCTCTTGTACATTTCTTGGGAGGGTGTTCTCTTCCCTTGGGGCAGGCATGAAGGGCTTGAAGTCGGACAGCTTGATGGCCGGTGTGTGAATGTCCCCCATCTTTTTAATGTAGGACACCCACCACAAGCCTTCCTCTTCAGACAGCCTGGTAGATGACACCCATTTGGCCAAGTCTCTCCCCATGGCTTTACAGGTGTCATCTACCTTTTCCTTGTCCAGAGTGACAGGTGTGAGTGTTGACAGGTCAACCTTGAAATCTAATGACACCTTTCTGTAGGTTTCACTTTTCAGTGGCCAGTCTTTATAAAGCATGGAGACTGAGGACCCCTCCATTCTGAACACAAACACATGTGCCTCCTTGTGTCGTTTAGGTGAATGACAGTTGATAAACAACTGCCTCATGTCCCAAACACCATCCAGTACAGTAGCAGTGGGCTTTGGGTCGTTACTGCTGGCAAGGACTTGCAGGAGAGCATCACGTGTTGCAGCAGGTTTCTGTCTTAGCTCCCTTGCAAACACGCTGAACAGCTGGTCCACATCTTCATGAGTGTGGCCCACCATGAGAAATGAAAGTTTCACCTGGAAAAGAGTATCACTATTAAATTACACTTTCAATTATTGGATTATTTGAATATCCTGAGATTCTAATAAAGAATGTTCAAGATCCTCTTAATGACCTCTATTGCATGCATTCCCACACTGTATATGTAAATATGTTGCAAAAAGTACACATACCTTTTTGAAGATTTTCAATTTGACTAACAATGCCAAAACATACAGTACGGTCTTGTTCTTGTTATCGTTTGGTGAATTGTCGGCTCGTAAATTTCTGGTAGATGCCCATGGTTCAGCTGAAATAGTAGTTTTTAGTAAATGAATTAAATACAATTTCATAGCATTTGTGCAGGAACAAATTTGGAACCAATGTTTCGTGATTAATTAGGCAATGACTCATATTGAATATATATAGTAGTATTACCTGTGCAATTATACTGAGGACATACAGAAGCACTGTACAAGTTACATTTGCATCGCCTGGAATACATGTATTCCAGACAACAGCATGGGCTGCTCGGTTTCCATGATCGACAACACCAGTCACGTGGTGCTTGACATGTGCCAGGCTGCCATCAATCTGAAAAGATTATTGTATTTTAATTAATGCCTGTCAAAGACTAGTATCTTCACTATCAACATTCATTACACACGATAAGTACATGAATTAGGACAAATTCATTATATTCAACTTTTGAAATATGAGTGTCAACTGTTCAATGGTTTAAGGAGCCTGTGATTCAATATGTAATCATCACACATGTGTACCTTTGATTGTTCTGGAAATACAGGAAGGTTTGTCTTGTTTTGGTCCATGTTGTCAATGATGAGGGACACATACTTAGATGGTTACCTCTTTGCCTTGTCCCCATGTTTGTAATGTTTGTAAGACAGACAGACAGACAGACAGACAAACAGACATACACTGAACCTGTAAACAGCCACAAAGCAGTGAGTGGCCCTTTGTGATGCGAAATCCATTTCTCAAACTACATTTTCATTAACTTCATTCATTTTGGTAAAATCTAAGTATTTTAGATATTTACATACTTACCTCTTATCATCTTATATGCATACTTGCCTTACTCTCCGAAAACAGACTGCAGAAGTCGAGATCGAAAGCTTGCTAACCTATAACTCGCGAAGGTGGTTCGATTGAAGACATCCGGGTGACCGGTAAGGTCACAGCAGTCTATCACGTGGCCACGTGAACAAGTCATTCCTTTCGCATCGAACAACAAGGTAGAACGATGACGTGGGGGAGGCAGCGAAGACTCGGGCGGGCTTCAGACTTGATGATAAGAGGTAAGTATGTAAAAATCTAAAATACTTAGATTTTACCAAATTCTTTACTTACCTCTTATCATCTTATATGCATCTTATCCGACAGTCTTGGAAGGTGGGGCGTTCGAACCGTTGTTCACCCAAATAGACCAACGAATCAGACGTAAGGAACAGTGAATGCTTGGGGGTCTGCAAGCAAAACAAAGACCATGAAAGTGACGCACAGAAAGGGAACAATAGGTGAGGCACTCTCACGATTGTCCCAACAAAAGTAACAAAGCCTCCAAGGGAAGAGAACAACGCCTCGTACCTTAGTGAGTAGAAGGACGTGTCAGCTGTTGAGCAACCACAAGAGGACCAAAACTCCGAAGTCCTTCCACATCTTCAACTGCCACGTCTCGAAGATAATGGCTGGCAAAAACAGTGTTAGACTTCCAAAAACAGCCCTCCATAATCGTAGGAATTGAACAATTCCTATGAAGAGCCATTGTGGAAGCCAAAGCCCGAATTTCATGCGGGTTATTCGCCTTCTGTTGCGGTACGCCAGTCATAGGCTGTAAACTGCGTTGTTGTGGTGCGCCAGTCTGAAGAGGTGCGCCAATGCCAGTTGATACGCCACCGGTGATAGGTACACTCTGTCCAACAGGTATAGCTTGTCCCATCAGTGCGCCCTGTCCAACAGGTGCGCCGTTGAGAGACGGATCCAAACCCAAAGGGAACACTGACGAAACCTCGGTTGACACACGAAGCGCCGTATTCACAGGTGACGAACTCAAAGGCGTACCGGTAGGTGCGCCAGACGAAATCGGGGTAGATGCGGGAACAGGCGGCTCCCCCAAGTCTTCCATAGGAGTAAACGACATTCTCCTGCGTAGTCTCTGTTGCGTAAGCCTCTTCTTAGCTACACGCAGATAAGCCTTGAAGAAATCAAAGGACAGCCGATCGCACTCCGAACACCTGGAGTCCCACGTGCACTGAGAAGTGCAATTCAAACAGCGAGAGTGCGGGTCCCTGTACGACGTGAGACCGTTACACTTTATGCAATGAGGCCGTGGCATACAGCACTCTAAAACATAAGCAAAACAACAATTTATTGACAAGCGACAAGCGAAAACATGTACGAAAAGCCTGGGGCGGCAGAAACAAACACGTCGCAAACACTACCCCGCTCAAACCAGACAGGGAGACTAAACCGGCAAATCACGTGGGACCGCCATCTTGGCAGTAACACGATGCACGCAGGTGGAAGCAAAATAAACACCGCGAAAACTCCTACCCACCCTAGGAGGGATGAATGGGAGCCCGAAAAAGATATCCAAGGACACAAGTCCCGGATACCCCACCACGAACCACGAACTCCACTCTTAGCGAGAGAGGAGAGAAAAACAAGCGAGCGAGAAAACAACACAAGAACGAGGAACTCAACTCCGGTGAGTACGTCCTAAACAAAGTTAGCAAACTTAAAACATACCAGAAGTATAGAACAAAAGAACCACAAGGGACAAAATACCCCCGCAGTCAAAACTACAAGTCTTAGGATCTCGGTCCCCGTCTGATTCGGTACACGAATAAGAAAGGAATGACTTGTTCACGTGGCCACGTGATAGACTGCTGTGACCTTACCGGTCACCCGGATGTCTTCAATCGAACCACCTTCGCGAGTTAAAGGTTAGCAAGCTTTCGATCTCGACTTCTGCAGTCTGTTTTCGGAGAGTAAGGCAAGTATGCATATAAGATGATAAGAGGTTAGTAAAGAATATTACAGAAGTAACAAACCTTTTGCATAGCTAAGTGTCCCTGTTTTGCTTCTTTCAAGGCCTTGACTTCTTCCTTTGCCAAGTTCTTTCTTTGTAGTGCATCTCTATACAAGATGCACAGAGAGCATTGTGTGAAATCCTTTGCCTGGAACAAGAAGTAAACAATTTCAACATCATGATTTATTATTTATTCATAACACATGTCAATGGCATCTTTCAAGCTGTGAGAACACTGTACCTTTTAGGTACTGAAAACTTAAAGGAGTATCACAGTAGTTTATATAATTGTAGTAACATGAAATAGATACATGTTGACAACTTAGTACTTGGTATACCCTACTTACCTTCTGTATTTTCACGGATGAGAAGAACTCTCCAGAGCTCAGTGATTGCACATTTGTTGTTATTTCAATGAGGACAGCAAGAGACAATTTCTGTCAGCGGATTACTCAAGACCAAACTTGAAATGGATTCAGTGGGAAAGGAAGAACAAGAGCTGTCTTAGACAGTTTGCACTGATATGAAAACAAAGCTATCAACATAAGTATATTCAGACATTAGATGCTGTGTCACCACAAATAATAACAAAGATGATATTATGATGCTTTCGAAATGTACATGCAAACCAACCTTTTGAAATACTGATCCAGCCACACCTTTGCCTCCAGGTACTTCAAGGAATCATACTTCTGATCAGATCTTTGATCAACCTTTTGTGGAAGGCAGTCCTTCACAGCTCTCCCATGATGAAAAAATCTAAAAATCTATTTCATTATATATCACAACGTTGTACTTAACACAATCCCTACATAAACAAATAGGATGAAAAAAGATTCCGTAAACCCACTTCTGAAAGAAATTTACAAACGATCTGTCTTTTCTTCACCTTTACAAGATTACCTCAACAATTATGCCTAACTTACCTGGTTTTACTGATCTTGAATACAGCACACCAACAAAACACTACAAACTTTCATGGCCTTCTAGGGTGAAGAGAACATCTGACAGTCTTTGTTCCTGATATCTGAACACTGCTCTCAAATGACTGTTGATGAGGCGGCTCTGTTTGGTTTGGGTCTTCCTCCAAAACGACAATCTCAATTGGTGGATAACTTCAAAGACAGTTTCTTCATACACTCTTTCACACAGCACTTGGTCACCAAAGCTTCTTTTATGTCTTGTGATATTAATGCCTTCTGTTCTCGTTTTCCACATCTCTTTGACCTTGTGGACGTAGCTCAGTCGGTTAGCACGAAATTTAATTGTTAAAGACGAAGCAATGAGAATTGTTTATTCACACCGGGGATTCGTCTAAAATATCGCGTTAAACTGTTTGAAAATATTCCAGTCATAAGCATTCATTCATCCATTTCGTTTGAAACAATTTATTCCTTGAACATTCATCTTACCTCTTTCTGTGCCTTTCCTTTTGGTCAGATGTCTTGAAGAATGGTTTCTGTCTTTATTGATGATGACGTTAGTATGATCTATAAACGGTTGAAAAATATTCATGAATGACAATGTCACATGAAGCGTATTTTATATTTATAAAGAATTCAATACCAGCATAAAGCAAACGTTGTTTGAGACTTACACAGTATTTGGTATCAATGAAAATGTGAATTATTCTCACCCATTGCAACGACGTCGAAGCTGAGCTGATAGCTGATGAAGGTATCCAGTACTTCTCCCTGATACTTGTTTCAGTTATTTGCCGACTTGATAATTTGGTCTCTTTTTACCGTCTGACTGAACCCTCTCGAAGAATGAACGAAATGGAACATACCTAATCTGCTCACGCCACTATATACACACCAGTTTTGTACATTGAGAAAGGTCGGGCGTCGATGATTGGTATTTGAAAACAAACATGAGGGTGTATATCCGTGAAATGTCATGCCTGACTTACGCACGGTAAATCTCCAAATCATCTGACTCACATTCATATCGTTCTGCAAATTTGGGGAGAAGCTGTGTACACGCTGTTTTTGCGAGCTCCAATGATGCGTCCTGTTTGTCGGCAACTTCAAAGAGCGGACATCTGGCTGCTGCACCAGGTAGTTATAATTACCTTCTCCATAATGCACTGTTGTATCGTTTGTATTGAATGATGGTAATCCATAATCGGATTGGGCGGAGTAAACCTACATTTCTCAAACATCGTAATCTTCAGTGCCTCATTGAGTAGGCCTACAGTCATTGCCATGCCGCTGGAATATATTCGGGTAGATTATGAACCGCCCCATCGCATTCATGAACAGTCAATGCACAATGGCACAGGCAACTTGGTCTCTTTCTGTAACAAATAGTACTTTGTATTTCAGCCACAGCGACAATCCCGAACCACGTGCAGTCAGCAATGTTAAACCGTCTGCTCAACGTACTGCAGTCACTATACAGGTGAGGGGTAATGGTATATTATAATGTTTGATTTACAGAAAAGCCGACCAAAGAATGTGTTATTAAACTATTTTGTTCACATTGGCATTTTTATGCAGAGCACACTAAATAACAAGTAATCAAATGTTTTCACAAACACCTGTTCATCTATATGTAATTTGTAGAAAAGTATACATGTATCATGAATCGACCAGCCTTCTTAATGCATGCATATGTTGGGCGACCTTTGGTATTTCTGTTATTTCACTAGAGCCGAGGTTTTTGGGAAGACAGATATTACGTAACAATATAAATGCTTAAGTACCATATAAATGCTTCCTATTGATATTACTATGCGAGCAGTTTGTAAAAATTATTTGTAAGATATAATTAATTAGATATGAAACATAACTGTGCAGGACCAATGTATATTGCATTAAAAAGTAATCTTAAAATCTTCCTGAAGTCAAGAACAACATCAGCATCTGGTGTTGCATTCTCTATCTGAACCAACAAAACATGTAATAGATGTTACCCAAGACGCGTATTGTCTATGCGGTGCCGAGGCAATTAACGAGACAATTAAATTGCCTCCTCGGGTATTGTCACTTTGACCAGTAATATATTGTTCCCGATGTAGTTGGGGATGGGGTGATAATGATCTTTATGGGGAGCTTGTACAATGTGAATGCACCTCCTAAGATATACGTTTAAATGGTGAACAATGCACAATGTGAAGCCCCACCCCCAGACCCCAGACCCTTAAATCTATATATAGTGGACTCCAACACCCCACCCCCCCCACCCATGTCCTGTACGAAATCAATGACGACCCCCCTAAAACATGGGTGCAAAATTGATGAGTAGATATTTTCTTTTCGTCTTTCGATTCCTATTTTGAAACTCAAGGGGAACTACTCTAGATTATGCAGAACGAAAACGATGGAAGGTGTATTCATTCATAGTAAATATTCTTTGTCATTGTTTAATTCGGAATTTGTTACATCGGACACCGGATTATGTTGGCGGACTTAAAAGTCATTTCCTTATTTTCCTAGTAGACATGGGCCTCTCGGAAAATCGAATTTAACCAGCAACGCCAAAACATTCGAACACATTTCCTTTATTGAGGTAGGCGTTTACAAATATTGATAAATATTCGACATACCTTGATGTACAAACAGAGGGCAACATCGCGGTTTATCGGTCGCAGCTTGTAGTGCTAGTGATGTTAATGCTGCATGTGTAGGTACAAGTATAAAACTTATCTCAAATGTATTAAGTGTTAAGGTTTTAATTTCAGCTTCATGATGATGTCGACATTGAGTGCCCCATACACAAGTATGCAGTTACTGACAACTTATGGAGTGACCTGTACAAACGAGAGGATTCCGATGACTTTCTGGAGACACTTGACATGCTGATGGGTGTATATAAAGTTACATATCAAGGTAGAAAAATTATTTAATATATTTTGAATGATATTATTATTTACTTCTTGACAATGTTATCAGTTTAATCTCCTATTTCTTTAGGAGCTGACCTGGTTCAAAACCCTCTGGATACATCTCTGGCAGAAACCCCTCCTACAGATGTACAACCCCTAAATTTCAAAGCTACAATAATGGTAAGTTATTGATGTTGTTTTATTGGACAGGGGTTTTCTTACTGAGTACTCCTTTCTTGGTAAATTATACTAATACAATGTTGATCCATTCCACAGACAAACTGATGCAAAATTAAGCATGGGGTCCTTGTCACATCCCCAGTTTATGATGGTTTAGATTAATCTAACAAGGTTTTCGAAGTCAAAGTCCCTACCCTTTAATTCTATACACTACTGACCAAACATACATCCCCAGTTTATGATGGTTTAGATTAATCTAACAAGGTTTTTTTATACTGTCAAAGTCCCCTATAGTTTTAATGTTATACACAATTACTAGTTTTACATGTATATCTGTGATACGCTAGTTGCTTTTCTGTCCTTTGTCGGCAGGTTTTTGTACTATCTATATATATTTTATTTCTAAGTGTTCCGTCACGATATGGCTGAAATATTGCCGATGTGACGTTAAATCACCTTCAGTTGTTGGCGATCTGTAGCCCGTGTTTTATATTGTACTGTGTCTTTTCAGTTAAAATGTTTTAGATTTACAGTCTAGTTTTATATTCATATCTGTGATACTCTAGGACTTTAACTATCCATCATCGACAGATTTTACTCTTTCAAATGTTGTATAAATTGTATAACTCGTCACGATATGGCTGAGATATTGCCGATGTGGACGTTAAATGTTAACTCCACTCACTCCTGCACTAATAAATGTACAGTGTCTAAAATGTTTCAATATTTATTTCATCCAGGCTTTTCGCAACCTTCACCCAAGATCAGGTAAAAGTGAGACAACCCCTCTTGGCAGTGCAGATAATAAATGGAGAAAACAGTGCCACTTTGAAACCTACAGATCCATGTAAGTGTTACTTAGATCTTGTCATGAAGCAGTTCACTTATAATTCATTGTTGTCCTTTTTTTTTCCCCAGTTTACTTCAACCTATTAATATATGCATCCATTGTTTTTTACGTGTGCTCTTTCTTTTCAATTTACTTAATTTTCCCTTTCCAGCATCATTTTGGTGGTCGTTTCAAAGTTCACCTTGCAGTAGCTGCAACATCTGACAGATGTTATCGCCTCATCCTTGAGATCATGGATTTATTCAGCCTTGGTAAACTAAAGGAGCAGAAACATACTAAAGTGAACACATGTCTGTTCTTGGAGACTGTTTCATTCAAAGATGAGGCAACCCTTTACAGACTGTTGACAGAATTCAGAAACAGTGAAATCTCCAAAGAAGAATTCAATCTTCAACTGAAACAGATTAAACAAGCAAACAAGGTATAAGAACAGAATCAGATCTAAACTTTGAATAAACAATAACTCCTTCAGTTAACTTCAACACGAGAACCATTTATATGGTTATATGGCGATTGGCATTAGAATAAATTGACATATATATTATATTTGAAGGGAACTGAAATCAGTCAGGAGGCAGCTACCGATGTATTGGTATTAAAGGAACGACTGAAAGAAAAGGACAGACTGATTGAGGAGCTGAGGACGCAGAACCTATTACTTAGACAGGAACTGGATAAGATGGTATGGTTCACTTGTGTAAATGTACATTCATTTTTCTGATTCTTTTGGGAATCATGCTTACAAATGGCCCCCCAGAAACCTATGCTGGTCAGTTAGGGTGACTAAACATTTGGGTGGTCAGACTGTGACTTTGTTGGTTGTGTGTCATTTTTGATGGTGTATCATTGCTGATAACACTAGTGGCGGTCCGATTAATTGAATTAATCGAAGATTGGTCACAGTGACAAAACGATCAAGCAGTTGATCATATTTTCTCATAATCAAACACAAACAATTTTGGAACCCTTGTTTACATTAACAATATTTTTCACAAGGTTGGTTTTGTCTCTGTCATTAAATTTACATTACATAAGCACTACGAGCTCGTTCAAAGTCATGACTGAATTTATCTTAAAGACTCCAGGAAATTTATTCCTAACATACTAGTCCTCCTTTTAAGTGAAATTTGCAAATGCATTTTGTGCAATTTAAAAAAAAAATACTAAAGGACTACTTGTACATGTTTTTCCATTTTTTGTGTGCAATAACAAACATTACAGGAAATTTTGATAAATAACACTCACCAATCATTTTTGATGATTGATAATGAACCAATCATCAATTATGAGATTTCAACCAATTCCCAACACTAGATAACACCACACTCGGTCATATACAGGCACTTGAGTAAGGCATTAAAAAAGAAAAAGAAAAAAATACCTAGTCTGGAAATACCATTGTCTTTTTTTCAGAGAAAAGAGAAATCACAGCAGCTACAAGAGCATCGGAATAAAGAAACTTTGCAAGAGGCAGAGAGATTGCCTGAGCCTGATGTGAGGATAATTTTGTATTTGGACTGATTATTTTTTTAATAAAGTCAGTAATGAGTTTTCAATAATAATCATTCAAAACTGTCATGTCATGTCTTCCCAAGCATTCACAATATTGCATCTAGTCATGCACTTGTATCAGTTGTTGGTTGTTCAATGCACACCTGGCAATATTCCAGGCACTTTGAAGACACCTTGTAATTAATTTTTCTTATTGATATCATATCTGCTTTAAAATATAACATACATGATAATGCCCACTGTAAATTGTTTATTTTCTAATTTATAGGTGTATGCATTCAATGATAATGATGATGGCCGTGACTTTCAAATAACCCTAGTTCAGGTGAGTTACAGTAATTCCTTCTCAATGAAAACATGCCAACTAAAATGAGTTAATGTCAATGAAGATCTGAAAAACGGAAATGGATTGGTGGGATTGTATTACTCATAAGAAATAATATCATTTGTTAATAATCAGCATTTTCAACTGAATTTTGCCATTTTGCAGAATATACTTCATGAGGAATCGGCACAGGAACATCTTGAGGTTAGTTAATAAGCCCACTTGTACAAAATTAAATTTTCATATTGTTTACCCTTAATGACAATGTTCATCCTGGTGTTGTGTCTGAAATGATTTTGGAATCAACTCAGCAATTCCCTACTTACATATATTAGCATATATTTGATGTGAAGCTGGTAATTTTATTGTCAACTATGGTAAAATTCACTGATTAGAGAATAACAGTCTGCATCTTCTTTTTAGAATATTCCTGGCGTGGAATGTCCAGAGCTTCCAGTAAGTATTTTATTTCAATTTCAGATTCTGTTGTATTTTGCATGTTAAATGTCAGGTATACACATGGTTTGTCAATTGAAACTGAATGTAAATGATACATATTATGATACACTTCATCCAATTTATGTTTCTTTCTGGCTTGAAAAAAGCAGTTCATGTAAGTTTGGCATCATTTTCAGGTGATATCTTACAAAGGAAGAGCATCAAGAATGGGTAGAAAGGTAATTACACTTAATATATTTAATATTAATTTAAATCCTTTAATAAAGATATACAAAAGGTAAAAGAAAACTAAACGAAACGAAAAACAACAAGCATGGAGTCTCATTTTTGGGATTTGTTCATTTTCTGCTTTGTTCTGATTGCCTAGTGGTTTAAACTGTCACTGTTCTGATTAAGCCCATTTCCGGTGCACCTATGAATTTGGAATATTGCTTAAACTAAACAAATCAGTATGAATGATTACCTCTATCACAAAGTTATGGTTTGGTAAATTATAGAGTGGTATTAAAAGAACAATGATGTCATTCATATTCATAAGGTATCATACTTTCTTTATCAGACTCTTCAATCAAGTTCAAATATGAGAAGCTTGAAGAAAACAGCACCTGAAAAGGTAAGTTATAGAAACCTTAAACTGCCATCTGTGAATTGGATATATATGAAACGCTGAAGGTTGAATTAATGATGTTTTCAAACATATATTAATTTTTAGATATTCCTAGCTTTTTTGAGTGGCATTAATTATTTAGGTATTATTTCATATTACTTTAGATATTCCTATTTTAAGATAACAAATGGTTTTATACTGCTTCAGTTTGCTCTTGCCACAATGTTCCACAGTCTATCTGTACATGTCTGTCATTGTAATCATCTTCCCAATGCTAGGTCATGGAAAAGGAATATCAATGAAATGTCGATGTTCATATCACTCAGCCAATTGACTTATTTTCTTTCTACTGGTCATGATGGCAAATAGAACCCTACTTGTACAAGCTTCTATAAGATGGACAAATAACATGCGGACAAATCTATTTTCAGGCATCAAGGATTGCAGAAAGTGAGGAAATGGTAAGTTAATAAATATCTCTACTGCTAATTAATGGCCTAATTTTTTGGTAATATGTGAATACTGGTATGTTGTAATTGATATAATTTTTATGTAAAACAACATTTTCTTTCAGGCTGAGTCCTACTTGCAAAAAAGGAGACACATGAATAATGAGGTGAGCAATTATGAAAAGTGCTAGTCTGTACATGTATTAGGATTTTCTGGGGCCATTTCCAATGTTGCTGGGGCGGTGTTGGTAGCCTAGTGGTTAAAGTGTTTGCTCGTCACCCTAAAGACCTGGGTTTGTTTCCCCAAATGGGTAAATTGTTTGAAGCCCATTTCTGGTGTTCCCCGCCATGATATTGCTGCAATATTGCTAAAAGCGGCGTAAAACCATACTCACTCAATCCAATGTTGCTGTACTGCAGGTATCAATTTTGTCATATCTAGACTGCACCAGTGCAGGTAAAATATTGCCAGTGCAGGTAACATGTTCCACCACAACTGCATGGCATCTAGTGACATTTCATGGAAGGTCAGGGGTCACTGTCAGAGGAGAAATAATCTTGTAATGGTGGACAAGTGGATTTTGCTGTGCAGAAATGGAATTAAACTTATGAATGAACATGTTAGTTCAATTGCAAACATCTATCAAAACATGCGTCAGACATCAAGTAATGTGAACTTTTATGGAGAGAGTGAAATTGCCCAAGAATATCCCTCACACACCTGTTAAAGAATCATCCATGTCAGTGATAACTATAGGATTGTTGATAACATGGTTCAGCCAGATGGTGGAGCCTGATAAATCATTTGTTTGCACCGGAATCACCCCCTGCTGTACATAGTTGCCAATATTTAGATGACAAATAAACATTAGCAAGAAGAAATACATGGTTCAATGACAAACAATGCTGTGTTATTGCTGTGTGGTGTATCAGTGTTATTTATGCTATGTATCAGTGTTATTAGCTATGACTTATTGTCACACAGCACCCAGTATATATTATGGATCATCAGTATCAGTGTTATTGGCTATGACTTATTGTCACACAGCACCCAGTATATATTATGGATCATCAGTATCAGTGTTTCAAGCAACTTGTGTGAAAGATATTTCTTGGTGAAATTTTTAATTAGAAAACTCTGAAAATAGACTACAAAAATAACAGTGAGCTGACTAGTCCATTGTACTAACCATGCATATCATGGATTTTGTCCATAGATACCCCCCTGCAAATTCAAGGTTGGAATGATTGTGGAGGCATTAGAGGATGACGGCTTTTGGTATGTTATTATTGTCATCATTGTTCAAAGAAACTTCACATTTGGAAGTCATCACAAATGCATGAGTTACATCAATTCTTATGATTATTTTCAGATAGATTTGCTAAGGTACTGATCATCATTTGACTCAAAATCAATAGTCGGACCCTCTTTCATTCTGAAACTTCTTGAAGGATAATACTTTTTGTGTCGCTCAAAGAATTGCAGTAGTTTATTTTTCATACCTGAAGCGATTCTGCATATTTGGCAAATCTACAACAACAAATTTGATAGGTTTGAATCTAGCAAAGATAATTCCCATCTCTCTGGTTATTACTACAGTTACTTCATTTCTGCCCTAGTAGTTACTTGAGCTATAGTCTGTAGTGAAAGTTATTGTTCAAGGAGGATATAGACATTTCAGTATTGAAATTAAAAAGAGGTGTTAATTTTTCCAGGTAGAAAGTGTTTAGTGGTTTGAGTTGATAGGACTTTAAGGTTAACTGTTAACATGCATACACTTTCTTTTCTGCTGTCATATCGACTAAAAATGAAACCAGGAAAATGTCAGTGGAGCATTCTTAAGTTAAAACAAAACAGTGGAGATAAATATTTGTGTGAACCTTCTTGTTTCCATAAATCATAATTCTTTTTATCTTGATTAAAAACAGGTATAAAGCCAAAGTATTGTCACTACAGAAGGAAAGAGTTAAAATACATTGGACTGGTTATAACTTGGATGAGTGGCTTTCAACAAAGAAGGTCAGGTTTGAGGTATGTCTTCTTCAGTGAGTACAATGTATTTCCTTGAGATGTATAAGTAAATGTATATGTAAATGTTTTATATCACATTAACCTCGCCGTGAGCTGTGAGAGCTGTGAAGAAGCTACATATTTATATTGTTTGAGATTTTCACTATGATGTTTTACACTTTGTGAAAGCCTACGAGAATAAATACACATATTGTACATGTTTGATTTAGTTGAAGACTGGTGACAAGGTTGAGGCTCCATGGTTGGTGCACAGAGCAGCTCGATACCCTGGCCATGTTGAGCGTGTTGATGGAGGTATTTCTAACATTATACAAATAGCCTATATATTCAAATTATGATTCATTTATTTTAAACCTTACATTATAATACCTTACATTGCTTATAAACTCACTCACTCACTCTAATATATTTCTAAAGCATGTTGAATGTGTTTATACCTGAAATGAAAAGTGTTTTTCGTGTTTTTCAGAATATGTGCTAATTGAATTTAGTGACATGACAAAGAAAAGAATTCATTTCAAGTATATTGAGAAGAAAACGTAAGTAATCAGATTATTTCAACTCATACAATATGAATCCATTCCCTCAACATGTTACATTACAAAGTAACTTGTGTATTTATTCAGAGGTTAGTTGTTGGGTTTTTTCGGTATCCAGGAATGCTCTTCTGTGCCAAAGTTTGCTTTATGTACCATGTAGAGGCGCAATCGCGCGCCACCGGGGTTTCACCCAACTCAGAGTTGCTAAATCTAACAAACTGCAGGCTACCATAGTGCAAGTACTCAAGGCATTGTTCGTAAACTCATGGTAAAGTTTTAGTCACATGACATGTAATATCTGTGAAGTTTGTCATTTCTTTATAACTAAGAACTCACTGTCGCTGTCACATTTAGGTCAACATTTATGCAATTAGTCACGAAGTATATATCTCTGCCTGTTGTTTCCCTGCCGCCATTTACCATGTACAATTAACCTTCCTGGAATAAATGAAGCGTGGATGCCTTATGCTGAAGTTATTTTCATTGGGAGGGCTCGGGGTAAAATACACTGCTGTCATATGTGTTTTTTGTTTTCTGTGACAGGAACCATCTCTGAAACCAAACTGGACTTTCAAGACAACCGGACACTGAGATAAGCCCAAGTTCATAAGTTTGAATTATCAAGTTGGAAGAAATCTTGTATAAAGAAATCTCTATCTTTATTTCTATTTCTTCTTGATTTATGTTATGTTAGGTATTTTAATTCTTGAGCAGCATCCTACTTCTGGAAACCCTTTACCCTACAACTTTAAGTTGTTTTCAATGGGAAAACGTTATTTAATGAAATTTATACTAAACTCTCCATAATGTTTGCTGAAGTAAAACAATTCTGCTACATGTAACTAAAAAAAATAAATCTGCCAGAGTTTACACAAGTTCAATTGAAGTAGATCCCAAAGTGCAGATTTACAGATTTCTGTCATTTGTATTTTTTCTCGGTTTCCATGAAAACGATTTGGACTTAGTCTCAAAAAGAAGGGGTGGATTTTGTGTCCGAGTCACAAGTTGAAAACCTTTCAATATATTTCAACAGAACTTCAGCAGAGTATATTTATAGAAAATTATATTTTTCATCTCTGATTTCAATGGAAGGGATTTGGATGTAGTCTAAAAAAAATCAAGTTGGACTTTAAGTAACTGCCAGATGATTTGTTTAAAAATTTTGTTCTTTTGTTCAAATATGTGGGGCCAAAGTGGGGATTTGTCATCATATATATATATATTTGTATATGTACAGCATGTGTAACTGTAATGTGGTCTATGGCATTTATGAAACAATACATGCAGTTATGTTTTATGACCTTGTTTGTGTTATTTTCCCACTGTCTGATGTTAAATCTGCTTTCTATATATGAAAGTATATCTCATCTTGATTGAATTGTTGGATTTCACCAAGTATTCTTATATTTGGCTGGCCTCATTAAAAGGCTGTTACATTTTTTAAAGTCACATTTACTTGACAAATCTGACAAAGAGCAATTCATTTAGACAATTTTAATGTGTGCAGGTGTACAAATAATGAAGGCTCTGCTTAATATGGTTTCAAGGATTATGCATCTGCTATATACAATTCAGTGTTCCACTGTCCAGTTAGGGTGATTATAGAAGCAACAGAGGCACATAGACCATATTATCAATCTTTTCTGCAGAAAAAAAATTTCTGCCAGAAATTTCTGCAGGAAAAAAGAATTCTGCCAGAAATTTCTGCAGAAAAAAAACATTCTGCAAGAAATTTCTGCAGAAATGCAATTTCAGAGCCAATTTGTGAGCTTATGAAAACATGAACACACTTATATTTTTGGATTCATCTCCTTGAGATCTTTCCAATGATATAAAAAATGTTTTTGTAGCATGCTTCCTTCTGGGTGTCAAGTTAGGACTGGCTGGCCATTCCTAAGTTGTCCCGCCCGGCCTAAATTATAAAGATGTTAAAGAGTAACGTTGACAGAAGCACTGTACCTCGTTACCAGCATCCCAACATGGCGGCAGGTAAGATCGTTTCCAAGTGTATACAATGAACATTATTCAGCACACTGATAAACGTTGATGGTGTGAATACATCGAATGCGCTGAATTTGCTTATTAATGGCTATGTGTTGAAGAATAAGCATTTAAAAAATCGCGTGAGGATGTCGGTAACTCAAAGTCTGGATGTCCTGTAACGTGCAATGAATGATGCTAGTAACACATACTGTCCTGCTTTAATCGGTAAACAGAAATTGTCGATTTATGTTTAAATACAAAGAAGATTCAATATCAGTTCTTATGTTTTACACAGATGTGTACTGCTGCTACATTAACAGTATGAGCGACTTTTTCTGTGCACCGGAGAGTTGTTGCTTGCCTTGAAGCACGGTGTGTTTAATCACACTATTTATGTGGCGTTTCGTTAAACTTGAACGGATTTAGACGTGTGTGCCAGTTGTCCATTACGCTGAGAGTTTTTTCATTGTCTCTCCTCAATTCGGACATTTGACATGTTGCTTTCGTTGCATTGTTGACGTCTAAAGTACATTTTACAGCGTGCATTTATTGGGTAGGGCTGAATACATAAAGCTAAATAGTCTGTCAACCTAACTTTAGGGACTGCATATTTTGCAAATATATTTTTTGTTATTCGTTTCAGTGTAAAAGTGTTTACATATACCTTCATGTTTCTCCGTAACCTCGGGAACCTATTATTAATATCACGGCGATCGCCTATTCAAAAAGTTACCTATAAAACTATACACATGGAACTTGATTAAACACCCCCGATTTTATTTTTTCATACTGCGATGAAACTGATCAACCATTAACATTAGTATGGTTACTGGAAAGCTTAAACTCCATTGTTTCCTGAAAGTTGACATTTTGGACTAAACAATAACAACAAAATCATGAAAATTTGCAATATTTTAATTTACAAAATGACACGAAAACGTCCACGATGTTTTGTCAACAAAATGTATCCCTGTACAACTATGGCGCTGTAGAGTTCCAAAATGGGAGAGGTGAGAGGCTTTCAGTCTTATCTTCAGACAACAAATCACATGAAGAATGTTAATAGCGTGCATATCCACCTTGTGCACGGATGACTACTTTGACCCTCCTCCTCATGCTTGTCGGGAGTCTCCGGATTCGCTCAAGAGGCAGATGCTGCTACTCTCGGCGCAAAGTTTCTTCCAAACATGCCAAATCCAGTGCTTGCACTCGGCATCCAAAAATGATCCAGACAGGCTCCAATGGGTTCAGATCCGGACTCATAGCACGCCATGGAAGTTTGGTTACAGTGTTGTTGGAGAAAAATTGTCACAAGTCGGGAACGATGTGGTCGGGCGTTGTCATCCATAAATACAGGGCGAGTGGCTAATGGATGGTTATCAAAATGTGGCACAAGAACAGGATCCAGAATGTCCCGGATGTCGTGGTCGAAGTTGAGATTTCAACGAACAGTTACCAAGCCCAGTTTACAATCATGGGAGAGACAACCCCAGACAATGACAGATCCACCGCCGTAAGGAACTGATGCGCTGATGTTCTTAGGCTCATAGACACTGTTCTTGGTCCCCACACGTGAATAAAAAGTGACTCGCATGCAACCAATGCACCTTCCTCGATGACGTCAAATTCCAATGACTTCGGGGTAAACACCGCCCCAAATGAGCTCTCTTGTGAAGATTGGTCAAAGCTGGACACTTGGTCACCCTTCTTACCCCCCATCCCATGTGCATTTATGCGGTTTCTTACAGTCCTATTGCACAGACGTCTGCTGGGGAGCCATAGGTGCTTCAGGACGCCATTTGTAGTGAAAGTGTGTGCTTATTTAAGTTCTATGTGTGCATCTTTATTTTTTCGTGATTGTCGTGATCAACTCAATCTAGGCATGGGTTCAATTGATGTAACGTCTGAATATTTGTGAAAACAATAAAGCAAGGTTGGGTACAATATATTCTCAATTGTCTTTAAAAATTATATTAGAATATTGTCGTCTCCTGGTGACTTATTCAATTTAGCATCGTCTATTGCAGATATAATTTCTACTGCTGTTATATCATAAGACAGTTCATCATTTACACAATGAGTATAATGTTCATAACTATGTTCAGGAATATAGTTTCCAATATTAGCATCCCACTGCTGGTCACAGCCATCATGTGAAACAGGATTGAATAAACCTGTAAAATATGTAAACCATGTTCCTGGTATAATATTATTCTTATCATATCGCCAAGATGACTATTTTTTTAAACCTTTAAATATTATTCATTAAATACATATTGACCAAATAAGGGATCACTTGCTACATTGTCAAAGCTCGTAGGTACATGGGTGATACCATTTTTCTTAATCAAGGGTACAGCCTACCAATCACGGATGCAACCAACCATAACAAGTGCTATTTTAACGGGTCTGCGTTTGGGAGGTCTGCGTTTTGGGCGAATACCTTCTGATTACTTACGTCACATGTTTATTGAACACGTCACACTTCAATTCTGGGCTCACAAAAGTGCAGAAACTCTCCGCACTGTGGCCACTTTTTGACAAAGGATTTGACAAAAATAAACATGCAGGTGTCATGAATATATGCTGAGGATGAAAAACCAAAAATGTATTTTTCGAAAACTCAAAATTTAAACTACCTCGCCCATGGGCAACCGTTTTCGAATGTGGCTCACATGATTGAAAGCGGCGTTCTCCCCTTCGCTTGTATCATGATGTTAAACTGAAAAGAACATATCAAAAGCACAACGGGTTACAGTCGTGCTCCGGCGGGATATTGCAGGATTAAAAAGGACAGGGCAACAGAATTTCAAAAAGACATCCCTATTACAAAAGGGGCATGCAATGACAGATTTGCAAGTTTCAAGTTATCCATGTATATGATTCTTTAGGGCCCAAAGAGCACAGTTATTTCAATTAACCTCGACATAAAATAGAAACTAAAAATAGCTAAGTGTTGATATCAATCGTTGTATTCTTTGTACAGAAATCGTTTGAAGGAAGTACAAAAAGTGTTCAGTCTCAGAATCTTCTGTTCTTCCTGGTACTGTAAATACCCATGGTCCCTAGTATGGTGATCTACCTTCAGTTGTTGGCGATCTTTAGCCTGTTTTTATATTGTATTGTCCAAATTGTACTAATAGTTTTAACGTTCCCCACTAGTTTTAGTTGTTATTGTGATATTCTAGTTGTTTTACTGTCCTTCGTCGACAGGTTTGTATAATATACATGTCTTCCATTTCAATGTCACATATGTTCTCGTCACGATATGGCTGAAATATTGCCGATGTGACGTTAAATAATAACTCACTAACTCACTCTGTTCTCTGAAATTTTGCAACAACTTTGTCCATGTGAATGTCAGCTGTGGATGATGTGTTCATGCGAAGAAATCAAGAAGTCGTCGACACTTCCTGGCATCGGCCCTCATAGCTTCTTCCCATTTCCTCTTGGTGCATTCCTTAGTTGGCATTGTGAATTTGTAAACCATCGTCCTTACTTAAACACTGATAGATAATTGTTGTCAAACTTTCAAATTGCAATGGGAAGCAACTCTATTGTTTTGTTTTTTTAAACCCGGATCGAGTGACAGTGTCTTCCAAATAACTTACCACTGAATCTTGTTCAAGTGTAGTCACTCTCCATCTTCTGGGTTTTTGCTGCTGTTTCCTGTGTGGCTGTACTACATAACACTATATCAGCTATATAGACTGATGAAATTTACAAATGCGTTGTTTTCATGGTATTAAAATGTTCAGCTCAGTCAGGATACTTATAATCCTACATCCTAATTGTCTGCATGTTGTGATGTGTATGAGCCATAAGGGCTGTGTGGGTCAAGCAGTGTGGAAAATCGTGTTTGCTTATAGTAACCTGATACATTCTGGTGCCACGATGGAATTTCTGGAGGTTGGGATGTGTCATACGGATTACTGGATGACACTTTCACCGTTTCTGTGAGATCCTAAAAGATAGGCACATTTCT